ACCAGCAAATTTTCTACAATCGTACTGACCAATTCCACACCATTAGATATTGAACTACGTATACACAAACTTGGAACTTTGCAGAACTATGTTTGAACACAAGTCAACTAAGCTGTAGTTGTTGTAGCTCGCAGACCATAACCGACAAAGTTATCATGGGAAGGACAAAATGACAGGATGAGTTGCAAAGCTAGAAACGTAACGTTATTAAAATTACCTAAGAGGAACATATCCAACATCAAAGTTCTTCATAAAATACAGAACTTCATCCCCCTCACGAACGTAACCTTTTCCTGTACTACCGAATGTTTCGATCGCATAATATTCATCTTCCTTAAAAACATACGTCATAACAAAACAGGTAAGTACAAAAAGTTATCAATGTAATTTTTAATGAAAATAACGTGAAAACTACACATGATTAGAGTGAATACCTCCATACGAGTTTGGTCCAGTCCGCGTAAGATTGACACAGATTTTCCACCATCAATTCGGTAAGGCTCCAAACAACGACCATGTAAATTACGTATGAGTTTCACTGAAAGGATACAACAATAATCAGTAATTTAATATATCAATTATCATAATATATGTTAAAAAGAATAACGTCTACAAATAACTAAACAGTAAAATTTTAAACAATCAATTTAACTGGATAAAAGTAACAAAATTACGAAATTGGAATGCTGCACGAACTCATAGTCAACATAAATATTCATGCTTCAAAATTATTCACACAGTTAGATCTGTAGTCGGTGAGAGATTTGCGAACCTATGTGTCTTCAGCAATTTGGTCATCGGTGGCACAAAATTCCCGCACAAACGCATACATAAAGCTACATGGATTTCACCCGATCACACTACTCAAAACCAGATTGATCATATCTGTATCAACAAAACGTTCAGAAGGACTATGGAGGATGTGAGAACCAGGAGAGGAGCTGATATAGCCTCAGATCACCATTTGCTAATCGCCAAAATGAAACTGAAACTAAAGAAGCACTGGAAAGTGGGACAGACAACATCAAACAATTTTAACACGGCCTTTCTTCGGGAAACCGTAAAGCTCATTGAATTCAGGATAGCCCTCACCAATAGGTTCCAGGCTTTTCAGGATCTACACAATGGCGAGGACGCAACATTGTAGAACAATTGGAAAAGGATTAAGAAGGTAATCACTTCAACATGTCACGAATGACGATAATATTAAATTCAGAAGATAATAATTTCAAAGTCCTGTCTTAAGCTGCCAAAACAGCCTACATGAGAAGCAAATGGAAATAGAATTGGCAAAGCTAAAATAAAAGAAGTGGAAAAAGGATCTTGTTGGAAATGCTGTTACGAGAAGGATGTCCTCAAAATTCTAGCAAAAGAGGAGACATGAATCGCGACACTTGTCCTACAACGAATTATGTAGAAGGATACTTCGAACTGCCGAAGCCAGAAATAAGGAGATTTGACGGAAACCCAAAGGAGTATTGTATATTCACGAAAGAGTTTCAGAAAGTTGTAAAACAAGCGACAACCGACGACGCCATACGTTTAATTACTTAATCCAATTTTGCACAGGTAAGGCGAGAGACTCTATAAAACATTGTACTATAATGAATGGCACAGATGGCTTTATAATGGCTAAAGATATTTTAAAAAGGAAATTTGGTCAGAATTACATGGTGGCTAGGGCCTTTATAGATGAAATAATTGACGGGCCACCAGTTTGTAAGAATTTCTACGTATCTCGAAAATTTGCGTAACAGTTTGGCCGTTGTACTGTGACGTTATACAACGTGTTATAATTACTTTGGTTTTTTTTTCGGTCTATGTTTTGCATTCGCCCGATGTTAAGTATGCTAAGCAAAAGAAAGAGTTATTAACGCTTCATGAAGCTAGTTGTGGCGAGGTGCTTCGAATCTCTGGTTTAAATTGGGCGGAAAGCAGACTAGTAGATAGAATAAACAGGACACTGGAGCCTACCTTCGTGTGCATACAGGATCTGAAAGAGTTCCAGTCTAGTGTTTAGTCGAGTAACGTGTCAACGATAAAATGTTAGTGTGTACGACAGCAAAAATAAAAAAGAAACATATGTGAGAAGGCGTCTGGGGGCGGAATGGCGGCTACGCCGAGAGGGGGGGAAATTTAGGGGGCGTGGGGGTGCATCGAGCGTAAACTGAGTTGTGAGACGTCGGTGATTTACGAGCGAGCTCAAGTGTTCTTACAAAAGTGGTCCACGGCATACAAAGATGTTGGAGAACGTGTTGTAAAGATGAACATAGTGCACAGAACAACTACGAGGGAATGAAGTTAAATATGGGAAAGCTATGGTCCTTCTGGTACCAGTGGAGCACGGTATTAATACAAAAAGTTGTGGAGGGGGGGGGGGTATTCGAGCGAAGCTTGTGTTCTCTCCATTTCTTTGCGTCTGGAGTCGGAAAGAAGGTCGTATACAGTCGCAACAAACAGAGGAGGGGGAAGAGGAGGTGAGAATGGTTGGAGATCTGTGTAAAGGAGATGTGCATGGGAGGCTTGATCTCCGCCAAATATTAAAAGATAGTTGCTAATAAGCAAATTGAGGGGGATGCACACGTTGCGAGCTCTGGTGACCTGTGGGCCGACCTCGTGGAGCGCTGACCAGAGTTGCAGGGGGGGGAATCCAATGTGTGGGGGGGTGGTGGGGCGCACGGGTAACAAAACACGTGTGTACTCGTGCAGAATTCGGCGAGTGAGTCGTGTGCTGAGGGGGGTACACAAATGTACATGTTAGACACATTCTGAACGGGGGCATCGTTGTCTGTGACACTTTGTACTGAAAAAAAAAACAGGAAATTTGTTGCCTGCGTTTTCTTTTTTTTCTCCATACAAACCACTTTCCACCGAACTTGTTCGGTTTCTTCTTTACCTTTTGCATTCTCACTTCCTACTTTCTCTCTCCCATCGTCTCTTTCCTACCTTCTGTTTCCTCCGGCACCTTTCCTCTCTCCCCCTCTCCTTCCTCCCTGGTTTTCTTTCTTTCTCCTTTTTCCTTTTTTCTCTACTTCCCCTCTTTCCTCCTTCCTTTTTTCCGCGTCCCCATCCCTCCTCCCCCCAACCCGCACCCCCCCTTTCTCCTCCCCCTCTTCCCTTCCTACCCCCTCGTCTTCTCGCTTCCCCTCATCCCCCTGCTCTTCTCTCTTTCTTCTGTACATACCTCTTTCCCCGTCTTGTCCTTTTTCAACACTCCCTTTTTTCCTCCCTCTCCCTTCAACCCGATCTATTTTTTTGCACTTTTTTCTTGACGGATGTCCTTTCATTGCCTCCCCTTTCCTTCCATTCCTCTTCTTTTCCTTTTCCTCTTTGTTCGCCTTGACTTTCCCTTTTTGTTTATTACATCCCTTACATAACAAATTCTTTATACCTGCTCTCACATTTCCCTATCCCCCCCTTTTTACTTCCTTTGCCCCAACCCCTTTCCTTTTTCCCCTCTCTTTCTCCCTTCATACCGCTCCCTCTGTGGCCAATTCATTCTAGTACAATGTTTCTACGTAGGAGAGTCTCAATCCATTACAACGCCAGCCTTTTACCTGATGCAAACAATTTGGGATTGAGAAGCGTCATTACTACGTATGCGTCGTCAGTCGGTTTGTACGCTCATATGTTTTATCAACACTATTTCTGAAAGGGTAGGCTTCTGTTTCGGTGACTATTCCAAATAATGCCTTTTATGTGTGGCTTTTTGTTTCCTTCAACTCGTCTCGTGTATGTTTCTGGCTGACGTTTGTTGGTCGTGTCCTCTTTTCTCTTAGTTCGCTTGGATTTGGTACGTCTCGGGGGGGGTGGCCGTTTCTGCACGTCTCTTTCTCCATCCTTCGTTTTATGCCCCATGTGTCGCCCACACCGTTTCCCATTTCTCCTCTTGTTTGCTAACCCTTTTTGGTTACACTGTCCAATCCTTGCCTCTTCCCTCCTCTTGTCCTCCCTCCTCTTCCTTTTTCAAGTTCTGTCCCCTTTCCTCTTTCCACTTTTAGCTTTGGCCACATCTATTTCCATTTGCTTCTCTGATTTTCTGCGTCTTTTTGCTCTTATAGACCTTCACTTTATAAATTCTTATATTATAACCTCCTTGACTTTAATCTTATCGTGTCCCATTCTTTCCTACTGTTTATCCTGTGCTTTCCCTCCGTGTATCCCCTCTTTGCACCTTTTTCTCCCCCACTTTTCGTCTCCCTACACATTGTTTCGGATCCTGAAAGGCCTGGAACTTATTGGTGAGGGCTATCCTGAATTCGATGAGCTTTACAGTATCCCGAAGAAAGGCCGTGTTAAAATTGTGTGATGTTGTCTGTCCCACTGTCCAGTGCTTCTTTAGTTTCAGTTTCATTTTGGCGATTAGCAAATGGTGATCTGAGGCCATATCAGCCCCTCTCCTGGTCCTCACATCCTCCATAGTCCTTCTGAACGTTTTGTTGATACAGATATGATCAATCTGGTTTTGGGTAGTGTGATCCGGTGAAATCCATGTAGCTTTGTGTATGCGTTTGTGCGGGAATATTGTGCCACCGATGACCAGTTTGCTGAAGGCACATAGGTTTGCAAATCTCTCACCGACTACAGATCTAACTGTGTGAATAATTTTGAAGCATGAATATTTATGTTGACTATGAGTTCGTGCAGCATTCCAATTTCGTAATTTTGTTACTTTTATCCAGTTAAATTGATTGTTTAAAATTTTACTGTTTAGTTATTTGAAGACGTTATTCTTTTTAATATATATTATGATAATTGATATATTAAAGTACTGATTATTGTTGTATCCTTTTGGTGAAACCCATACGTAATTTACATGGTCGTTCTTTGGAGCCTTACCGAATTCATGGTGGAAAATCTGTGTCAATCTTACGCGGACCGGACCAAACTCGTATGAAGGTATTCACTCTAATCATGTGTAGTTTTCACGTTATTTTCATTAAAAATTACATTGATAACTTTTTATACTTACCTGTTTTGTTATGACGTGTGTTTTTAAGGAAAATGAATATTATGCGATCGGAACATCCGGTAGTACAGGAAAAGGTTACGTTCTTGAGGGGGATGAAGTTCTGTATTTTATGAAGAAATTTGATGTTGGATATGTTCCTCTTAGGTAATTTTAATTACGTTACGTTTCTAGTTTACTAATGTTCCGTGAACGTGACTGTGTAATTATCTCAGTTTTGAAAAAGTCGGATACTGTTTGGCAATGTAAACTAGTACATGAAAAGTTGTGCATGTACTGTTAGCTTCGTTTCTGTCTCTCTGTAATTTTGAGTTCAGTGTTACCCCGCCCCACTATCCATAGCTTTGCAACTCATCCTGTCATTTTGTCCTTCCCATGATAACTTTGTCGGTTATAGTCTGCGAGCTACAACAACTACAGCTTAGTTGACTTGTGTTCAAACATAGTTCTGCAAAGTTCCAAGTTTGTGTATACATAGTTCAATATCTAATGGTGTGGAATTAGTCAGTACAATTGTAGAAAATTTGCTGGTTCTTATAGAACTGGTATGTTTGTTATTCTGTTTTGAAATGTACAATCTTTTCACTTTTTCCCTTATTTAACAGGTTAGCCAGATCGAAACAACTGTTAAATGTAATTGATCGTAATTTCAGTACACTTGCATTTTGCCGTCGTTGGTTAGATCGTCTAGGTGAGACAAAATATCTGATGGCCCTCAAAAATCTATGTGAAGTGGGGTTGGTGGATCCATATCCCACAATGTGCGATCAACGTGGTTGCTATACTGCTCAATGGGAGCATACCGTTCTACTAAGACCAACATGTAAAGAAGTTGTATCTCGTGGGGAGGATTACTGAGTAGCTTCGGAGTTTCCAATTCAGGGTTCACTATAGACGTTATAAATTTTGTTATTTCACTGAGATTTATTTTCATTCGAACGTGTATCCAAGTTAATGTTTGATACAGCATTTGACTATGTCTATCATCATTGTTTTGTATTTCCAGCACATACGAATTTTGTTCAGACTACGTATTCGCGCAGCAGTGTGGCAAGTGTATATATTTAACCAAATCACTACTTAACCTGTCATGTTGAAGTAGTCAATACAGTAGTAAGTCGAGATAAAATTCATACTGACCACTTGAATTAAAGTAAATTATGGGAATATAAGAATATAACACACAGATAAAGGAGTACAGCAAAAAGAAGGGAGAGTTGTGCAGTGTCAGGTGGAAAGAAGAGAAGTCGAAGCTAAGAACATATTCCACATGCAATTTAAGTTACTATTCTTTTGCTTTTACAGTTTGATATCTGTGGATTGTTATCCGTCTTAGTTCTGTTACGTTGCTATTTCAATAACAGTGTATCACAACATAAATTTTGATAGTATATCTATCTTAAAATGTTGACCAATAACGCATGTTTTACACAAAAATCTTTGTAAAATCTGTAAAATAAAATGAGATTTTTCAGTCACTTGTAATGTCGTCTCCTGTCTCATGAACTGATTAGCTAAACACATTTACAGAAATATTTCAATCAATCAATCAATCAATCAATGAACAGATACCTAGAACTTCGTACGTACGTACGTATGTACATCAGTTCAAGTTACCATGCCACATAAGCTAGCACAGAGATGCGATTGTCAATTCAATTACCATAGCAGTAGAGGTAGTAAAAGTATTAGCACTAATCGGAGAGATTAGGTTTCGAATATATTATTCAAGAAGTAGAATCTAGTGAAATAAACTTAAAAAGAAAAAAATAAGGATGACGGGAATTGAGTAGGTTGGGACTTGAGAGAACACAAACAATGAATGCACCTGTGACATTACAAAATTGTTTGCAAATGCTTTACAACCATTAAGCTTTTAAAATTAGAAACTACCAGGTTTCGATGTATAGATAAATACTGAGATGCTGCAAACAACTATTATATGAAATGAATAAGCTACGTTGTATTCCAAGTTGACCGATTTTTGCAAAATCAACTTCTGCAATCAAAACAAATCTAATTCAGGACGTTGTACAATGGCAAACCATAGAAACTTTGCAACATCAATTACGCTTATAGTTTTGGAAATAACATAATGAACTAGTAAAACGTACTGGAATGGATGTACTACAACAACTAAAACAACAATCCGAATGTGTAGGACGGATCGTGAACAGTGTGCAATTTGTAAGCATGCGAAATGTACTCTGAAATTATTATCTTCTGAATTTACTATTATCGTCATTATATAATACAGAGGTTTCAAGTAACTCAAACATTCGATAGACAGACTGTTGACAACGAAACCTGTATATGCTTAAGAATGCTTAAGAATGAATCCATGGACTCAATCTAGTGGAGGTGACAAACGTAAATACAACCATCATGGTCAGCCTATTTCGCCACATCAGATGTTACGAATACCATGTTAAAGGTACACCACTGCGTATATTTTATCGTGCCGTAGGACTTTGTTATTTTGTTTGTGAATATAACATTTACGTTTCTCTTCCACGTTGATGCTGATCTAATTAGCACTACTGAGCACTACTCTCACCGAAGGAGCAGATTTCGCATTCAGACAGTAAGATATCTGTAGGCTGTGCTGCAAGTTTTTAATAATCACCCTCAGTATAGTTCACATCGTAGCATCAACCGTTTTCTAAATAGATCTTTAAATAACCGTACATACAACTTCTGTTTTACTATTTGGCATCCTCATTATAAACGTTTTGTGAAATCGTCTTATCGTTAACTGTATACATGCGATGTTTTCAGGTTCGAAACAATTTTTCCTTAGACATTTAGCTGAAAATGACCAATAAAAGCGTTTGGGAGAAGGAAATCTTTCAAAGTGTACCTGCCAATATTGATTTATTGAGTAAACAATGGAAAAACTGGTGCAAAAGATCAAACTTGATTAGGATAATTACGATTCACTTTTCTCACATTCTTCCCCTGGCTTTCATATATTTAAGATACACCCTGTAGTAATACATCATAGCAAATCCAGAACATTAAACAACTTGCTATTCCGATAGGAATTCAAGTACCATAAAGTTGGAAATCGACGAGATTATATTGCGGACGATTTACACAAACCGTACCAACTTCGATTAACTTCGAAAAATCGGCAGAAAAATCCAAACAACCTATGTCGTAAGTTATCGTGTAGGTCCAATATCCAATATCTTTTTCACGAGATAGTGTTAACCAATTTGATTTCTCCGCGCTCGATTCTTGTTCTTTCGGTACGGTTCCAGGTGTTTGGTAATGTCCAATGGATGGAGGTCTAATTCTATTCAGTTGGCAGTTGATTGTGAGTTTGTATATCTCGGGATTTGAATGAAACGTTTGTTTCAGGGCAGTAGGGTTTCTGTATACTAGCAGCCGTCACATTACCGAACCGGAGATCAGTTAGTTGCAGTGTGGAAAGTAACAAGGATAATAAGGATAAAATTCCAATGATAATATGAATAAAATTTCAGAACTGAGTAATATATAGATGAATTTAGTTTGTTAATTGGTAGTGAAGATTGTGAGAGAGGACCGAAGTCTTAGCAAGCTAGAAGAAACAGAGATAATAGACGAGATGGAATAATTGAGTGATCTGAAGAGATGGCAATGATAACAACTAGCAGGTCTCATGATATGTATCAGGCACAGCTTGTTGGGTTGGCGTAATACTCTGAACATGTAGGCGCCTGGTTTAATTGATCAGCAAAGGTGGTGTTGAAGATCTCGGCCATCTCTAGTTTGGTGAGGTCTTCCCCGTTTGGCCCTTTTAGAGAACACAACCCTTGATTAGTAGGTTTTCTTTTGGACATGAACCTAAATAGATGTTTCGGGTTTGCCTCTATTCTGGCGGCTAGCTTCGTATGCAATTGTCTCCTGTCGCTTCGAACTTTGGTATTGCATCTGTTTCTCAATGCCAAGTAAGAACTGCAATCGGAATCCTTCGAGGAGACCTTCCACTTGTGCCAGGCTTTCTTCTTCGCCTGTAGCAAGCGTTCAGTGCCGCGCCTAACCCAGGTTCTTCTGTTCTGGCGTTTTGGGTGTGACTGAGGTACGTTGTCTATGACAGCGTTTTGGATGATATTTCTCACTGCTTGCCAGTGATCATCTACTGTCAGCCTCCACCACTCCCGTGGCCACGGGGCATGTAGGAGCACCTCTCTCATGCGTGTGTAGTTTGCTATACTGTAGCAAAGATAGGGCTCGTTATCGTCCGGTGTCAGTGTTTCGTTTGTGACCATGTTAAACAGGACATTGCCATGGTCACTACTACCTATTGGATCGCGGTTGTGAACATCCTCAACCAGGGGCTGGTCATTCGTTAACAGATAATCTAGGTTTGAGGACTTCCATTCCTTAGTCCACCTAGTGGCATTGCGTACGTGCTCAGTCAGCCCACAGCTTCTAATGGCTGTACCAAGTTGTCTTTGGAACCAACCAGTGGGAGTTATACTCTGATTGCTAAGATTTAGAGATGGGGTATTGAAATCTACGGCTAAGAGTATTTGATCAAACCCTAGGAGTGTCAGTTGCAGTATTACCTCAATCAGTTTGCTTTTCTGGGCCTTAGTACGCGATAGAGTTCGGTCTAGATGAATATCAGAACACAATAACTCTAGATGAAAGTGGTCTATTTATATAAAAAAATGGAAATACAAACAAATACCTGACTTTTGATACACCTTTCAAGTCCCAATACCCTGATGGGTATCAAAATCCAAAAGAATAAGTGATGCTAGATCCAACCGCAACCGTATCAAATCCATATATGGCTGTAGCCATACTAAATATCAAATTTAAACAACATGTGTACAGTTCAGAAGCAAACATAAAAACTTCAATATAAGTACGAAATATGGAAATAATAACAATATACAATGATAAAATCTCAAAATGGAATCAAATAGAGTACCAAAATGTCAACAGAAAGAGTCAGTCATATCATAACACAAATATATATATATATATATACATGCAGGGATTTTCCAAAAAACAAAACATTCAAAAAAGATTCTACACCGGCCCGCAAAATCCCTCCATGCAAAAAGCAAGCGCTGACTGACACTTCAATTTAGGGTTCACTCTCATCCCCTAATCCACACCGGAAGAACGAGTTCGACTTACAGCAGTACGCCTACCCGCCCTCCAACATGGATATGACCTATCAAGCTAACTAGGTACCTGTACCTTCCCATCAGGCCCTTGATTCCCCTATCTATCGTAGCATGACCTAACGGTAGTATAAACCTTATCCAATTAACCAATATGAACATGTACAACACGTCGTTAGGCTGGTCATATCCTATCCGGGAACTACATTCCATATCATGGGGATGAGTCGTCAATCCACCACTACTTGCTCCGGACAGCAGATACAATGAAGTCCGTGATGCTGACTTATCAACAGACGTTCTTGACCCATAGATAATATGCAAGGGTGGGATCTCCAATTTTGATATTTCCTCGTCTTCCGAAGACTCCAAATAGCATAACATAGGAACAATATCTAACTCTCCATCTCCTGATACAGAGGAGGTTTTATCAGCATTCATCATCGTCGGCAACTCATTTGTCACATCACTGACATCCAGATTATTATCAATCGCCGCGCGAACTCTGAAAGTGGTAACTTTTTTTCACGTGGTATAGTGTTTTTCTGAAATTTATCATTCGTAGGGTATTACACTGATTTAGTAGAATTTATCTATTTTACCCGGTGCACTTTGCTTCTAGAAAGCAAACCTTCTAAGTTTTTAATCAGTTAATACATACTTGTCGTTTGATAACGATTTTAACTTCTGAATACACTAGTTTAAGCCTACTTACAGTGACTCTTGCACTTCAT